GGTACTACATTACTGCATATAAAGGGAGGCATGATCCTAAAAGGATTGGTAACCTATATGTCAAAACAAATTGTTTGGTAAGTGTAACTTACTTTAGTATTTTCATTACGTTGCTGTCAAAAGCATCACTTAACATTTTAATATGTGAAACACACAGTGCCCCAAGCAGAAGCCCAGGAATATACACTGTGGATATTACGTATACACTATCATGAGTAACATTGGTGCCTACAGCAGACACCCCTATAGGGTAAGTTTGAACCTCTTTACCCGTGGTATAAAAACTTGGTACCAAAACACAGGCATATGTTATGAAATACTAAACATAAACTTGTTTTCTTGTAGTGGCAAGAAGAGAAAGAAATGAGATCTACACCACTCAAAGATGACAACCTCTTGGAGCTCGTCGGCGAACTTTGCAGCTTCATAAATGAACCAGATTATCCACATCAGAGGCACTTACCATATGACCCAGCGTCTGACTGAGGAAGGCATGCTCATCACCAACATCTTCATGAGTGGGAAAGGCTAGGCTTAGGCCATTGATAACAATTTGTATGAAATGTGACATTAGTCTTAGCTTGTAATGTTATTGGACTTGTGGAACGGATCGGACTTGTGAATTATGTGTATGTAATGATGAATTATATATGTTCTTGTGAATTGGACTTGTAATGTTAGTGGACATAATGTTCTTTTGAATTATATATGTATATATATGCTACAGTCACATTTGAATTTTCAAATTTGAATTTTTTTTGTGGGAAAAAGAACTGTAGGGACGGTTCTAGATTCAACCGCCCGTACAGAAATAATTATAGGGACGGCTGATACACCAGCCGTCTCTACAAATCAGATTTGTAGGGACGACTTGAAAATCACCCCTACAAAACCATGATTTGTAGCAACGGTTTTGTAAGTGCGGCTGGCCGAGCCACCCCAACAAACCCACTTTAGTCATCCCTACAAATCATTACTATAGCAGTGAATTGGCACCCAATCGCCTTGCTCTTAATACCAAATTGTTATGAACCTCCAAACTAGGATAGGATTTCACGCACATAGATACATTCAGAGAACTGGAAGGGATTTTGGGGGAGGAGCAAGCAGAGGGCAGGATTCAGAGGAAGAAGGTGAGTTCAGAATTGGTTTGGTCTTTCCCTGACCATTCTGTTACAAGAGCTACGCTGTATATCCCTGTTCTCTACTGGGCCGAGGCCCATTAACTGCTGAGGCCCACGCTACGACGATTTAATGAGACAGCCCAGCTCATGGCACATTTCCTTCCATCCTAGCCTAACGCAATCCGTTGTTCGGTAGGCGTGTCCTATTTACGATCACAACACGTCGCCATAATTACACGCCTGATGAGTTACGGTCTCCGCGTATATACCAATCAACCGAGCTTGCGATTGTTCTCTTTGCCATCGTCATCGTGCCTGAGAACGACGCAATACACTAGCCAGATCTTGTGTGTCGCAAGTGCTGCAAACTGAAGAAAATTTAACCAGCAAACTGACGAATTCCAGTCTACTCTGCACCGACAGCAACAGGTACCGAAAGGTTCCTGGGTCACAGGGAGGTACGAGTATATATCATTCATGACGATTCATCAGACGAACGAGCAACAAGATGGGCTTAGTTTCCAATCCACTCGACAATTGTTGAATATATATAGTGGTAACTGGGAGCGGTTCCCTCCAGTCCAAATGCCTGCGACGAAATAAGCCACGTTGATCCGTCGAGACCCATCGATACGACGGAAAAGATATTGATGCAAGAAGAAACGTCACAAAGACACTTTACTACTCCATGATATCTAGCTGCAGACTGCAGGTGTCCCTATTTATTTCTTTATTTCAGGATTCTGGTTGGCCCTCAGAGCTAGACAATCCAGTAGCTAGCTTTTGAACCCTGTATTATATTATATTATTTATATATACATCCGCGGAAACATTCATAGTAGGATATTTATAATTTGGTAATTGAGTTGCATCCTAGGCAGGGCCGTGTCAATGATAGTCTGTGGATGACAGCAACACCAGCAGCATATAGCAGCTGCAAACAGCGATGCCAGCTCAGTGTAAAAATTGAACAAAAAGCAAGCCGTACATGTAACACACGAGCTGATTCCATGTGTAAGCATGAAGAAGATTACTTGAAGCAAAATTCATCAAATAAATATGATCTGCCCTTTTAGAAGGAGACAACTTTTTTGTGTTAGCTGCCATGTTAATAATATTTGATGACAAAACAACAAAGGATAATCCAACACATACATTAATACATTTTACCAATTGCCACATATTGAATTATCATATATTCTATTAATGAAAGTTAATTAATGATGTTACTTTATTTTTTTAGATAATGGAACAAAGTTCCAGCCTCTACCATCGATGTTACTTTACTTCTAGTTATAACTATAATGATGTCCTAAGATTCGCAAAAAAAATAATAATGACGTCCTAAGGAAATACCTGCAACAATTACACTCTTTTAGTCAAAAGAAAATGTCAGACTAAGCAGTGCTGACTAATAACTAGTCCATATGATAACCAAAATGATGTCCTAATAACTAGTCAAAAAATAATGTTCGTCCCAAAATGAGTGTAATTCTAGTTATGTTGCATAGACAAGAACTTGTCCATATGATAACCAAAATTGAACTTATTTTGGGATGGAGTTAGTAGTGTATATATATGCAAACATCTAACAAAGTTCTAATATATTGTACATTACTTGCAATACAATATAAATCTAGCCATACCATTTTGTTGTTCAACTGAAATAATTAAATTAATGCTCATAGTCAAATTAAGTTTAAAATACACTCGTTTATTGCTTGTAGGATATATATTTTAATGAACTATTTTAGTTGTTAATCATGCGCTCTCTCCGCTTCAAATTGTAGTCAAGCTCAAATAAATACTTTATCAAGACATATTTCATGGAGAATTTAAAGAAAGTATTTCGATCTTGGGGGTGTTAATGAACTTTTTTTAAAAGTATGGTCAAAGTTAGAAAAGTACGTATTTAACCTAAGACAAGAAGTGAACTATATTTTGTGAATGGAAGGAGTAGATATGATAGTCGCATGCATGGATCACTGAGACATAAAGGAAAAGTAATTATTCCTACGTTGGTATCATACTCAATTAATGTTTACATTTGAAAGAAGTGCATATAGTAGCTACAAACTTATTTGAATACCATTGTAGGTGAACATGATCGACACTAACTTTATGAAGATCATTGAGCATGGAAGTACTCCCTTTGGTCTGAATATAAAAGATCCAGTCAATCTGTACTATGTTTGATCAAGTTTATAGAGAATAACATTAGCATCTACCACATCAATGTTGTATTTTCATAACATATTCAAATGATGCTAAATTGATGCATACATGTAAATACCGTTCCTATATCCATTCCATTTTTTTCTCTTGGTATATGCCTATACCTGTGTACCATTCCTGGCTTTAATAAAATAATAAGACATATAAATATAGCTACCTAAAAATAATTATATGAGATTTATTTGCATAAAGCTTTAGTCAAGATCATTCTAAAATTATATAAAGTTAAAAAGTTAGCATATGGTTCGACAAGTTCATAAAACTGCACATTAAATTAGGTGTTACTTGAGTTTTAGACGATACCGATATGGACCAAAATAGCAGTTTTGACTAGTAGGAACCGATGTCAAGACCGGTACGGGATGGAGGCATATCTATACCCATCTAGCCACCTGTATGAGATATATATTGGCCATTCCGACCACTTTAAGAACTGAATTCATATGATGACGTAAACATATCTCATTCTCCTTTTGTATAAACTTGATTAAACTTAGCATAGTTTGACTGAGAATAAACTCAACTCTCTTATATTCAGGACAGAGGGAGTATTTAGGAGCCGTGCCATATGCATACTAATGTTTCATGTTGTATATCACTTAGCATATGGAAGTAGCTATGAAAGCCATGTAGTATGTGTACTTCCCTGAATTTAGACACGGTATCCTGGTTGTCTTATAGGCCACACCATGCATTTCCATATACAAAATGAAACTTACCACATTTCATTTGCTTCATTTATATAACTTTTAAATTAAGGGGTTACTATTCGCTCTGTCCACCAAAGGATGCAACTATAGGATTTGTGCAAGTTAAATTAGCTTAACTTTGATTAAATTTATAGTGAACAGTATTAACATATATGTCTCCACCTAGGTTTACTATGAAAAATAGTTTAATAATTAATTTAATGATATTTATCTTGTACCATAAATGTTAGTACTGTTTTATATAATAACATTAGTTAAACATTAAATCGTGGACGGAGGGAGTGCTATAAGATAACGGAAGACAACCCATCGTAGGGTTTGTATTGTGTAAAGTCATCTCAAGATTGAGGATTGGACTTGTCCTAAAAGTGTGTAACCCAACCAATTAATTAATACATACATATATATTTTAGAACAACGTTGCACGTACAGCTGATCGGATCTATACCAACGTTTATTTAGGTAATTAATAAAATGTTATTGTGATCGAGACTAACCTTACCTGCTGGTGCAATATGAGTATACTGACTAGATAGTGACTGCGATATATATGCTGCGCCTGCGTATTATATATTCTAAAATAGGATACTTGTATGTGAAGCACCTCCGATCCATTGCAGGTTTCCACTGTGAGAGCGAGCACAAGACAGCTAGGGCTTAAGTGCTGGAAAGCGAAGCAGCTGCTAGGCACCAAGGCCGGCCGGCAGAGCAGATGACCTCCAAAGCTAGCTTGTCAAAACCGTGTACCATCTTTTATTCAGAAACGGCTGACAATACCAATGCACAGCTCTTTGGCCATGTCTACAACTTTTATAATAACCTAAGTACACACCCCATGGACGCAAACTTCACTATCGTCTGCTGGATCGTCAAACCTGCGTTTACCAATCCCCAAAACCGTCGAATCATCGTGGTGGCTAGGTAGGCAGCCATGGAGAGTGGCAGCAACATGGAATCCAAGGCGGCCTCAGCCGGCGACGAGGCCATGACCTTGCCTGTGCCGGAGCCGGTGGCGGCAGCAGCTGGCGGGGCCACTGGAGGAGAGGACGAGGTGGCGCCGCCGGCAGCGGGCGCTGGAGAGGCGACGACGCCGGCACCAGCTGCCAGCCCAAAGCCGTACTACGATTGTGTCTTCTGCAAGCGTGGGTTCACCACGGCGCAGGCGCTCGGCGGCCACATGAACATCCACCGCCGCGACCGCGCGAAGCCGACCCGCGACTCACCAGCCACTGGCATAACCACGGTGTCCCGGAACGTCGAGTACTATAACAAGTACCGCCACTTGTTGGGGCCGTCGTCGTATCCCCCAGCACAGTCGTCGATTCCGATCCCGATCGGTGCCGGCAGCAGCTTCAGCAGGTACTACACGAGTTCGGCGGCTGTGGCCGGGGCTAGGCTGGACGCCGAGGGTGGGAACCCTAACAGCGTGAGCCCCAGGGAGCTCAGCCTGTTCGGTGAGGCCACCAGCCGTGATCAAGACTTGCACCTGAGCCTCGGGCGGCACGGGCACATCGTCGTCGGCGAAGGATCACGCGCGCCGGCCGACGGGTCGTCAGAGCGGCAGGAGTCGGGTGAGCCGGAAAGGGAGCTGGACTTGGAGCTCAGGCTTGGGCGTTGTCCCAGCAGGCATTGATCGATCAGATATGGTAGTGCATACAGTTCTCGTAACAAAACAAGACTGCCTGCATCCATGTATATGGTTTATGTGATATATGCATGGTGCTACATTAATTATTGTTGAATTTGTTCTTTTTTTTTTTGTTTCTTACCTGTATGTATGCTTCTTACTATGTTTTTGTGGTACATATGGCAGCTGTTTGATTTTGTTGCTCATTTTATGACCGGTTTACTGTGGTCTTCTAGTCATTCTATGGACAAATTTATGCTACATATTTGGTTTTTCTTAATTTGCTGCTTAATCTGATTGTTGCTAATATCGTCATCGGTAAAGCTGAATGTGTACTACTTATTTCTTTGTCATAATAATTGCCATAGGAAGATTTGTATTTGATATATTGAAACCGGCGAATGGAATTATAACATGCATCTCAGTTAGAAGACACATATTCCAGAGAGATTTGATTATATTTTATTATGATGCATCCAGAAACTTTACGTGTCCCTGGTTCTGTACAAGCTATTACAGAAAGTAAATAGTTTAGGGAACAACTTGAATGCTTTCAGCAATCAATTCTCTTTATATTAGATATTAGGATGTAAAGCACATTACATACTGTCGGGTCAAATGCAGGGTGGCTACAGCTTAAGACATGCTCAACAAAAATAATAATCTGCCTGTTGATCATTTTCATTTGATTGGACCATTATAAAGTTTGGTAATTCTCTTTTACATGGATGCAAAAATATGGTGGAGCAACCATTGTGGACCAAGGTTGGTTAGAACTTCAATAAGGTAAATACATGTCATATAGTATCCATAGTGCCTTCCTAATGCCGCCATCACACTATTGAGCTAATTTATATTACATGATTAAATGCAACTTATTTCTACTGGTCCTTATTTTTTATTGGAATATCCATAAGAAGGGTATCTTGTAAAAGGAAGTTGTAGGGATAAGGCCTTCACCAAGTGAAACATCATCTTATCTGAAACCCCCTTCCCCATGGTAGATGAGAGAGCTAGAGAGATCAATGAGATCAAGGCTGGTGAGATGTGATGAAGGATCTCTGCAGGCTGTGAGCAAAGACTTCGATTGTGTGTCATCGTCTGATCTTTGTTGGATATTTCTTTGCGGAGTCAGTGCTAAAGGAAGATGGGAAAAATATATACAATAAGTAATAGATACTTCAGGTTTTTTATACATGCATTTTGAGAGTTTGGTACATTCAGGTATATATGAATGATTGCCCTCTCGCCTTTATTATGTTTCTTGATCTTGATCTTTCATGCTAGCAGTGTTTTCTATTCCTTTATCTTTATGTATGAATGAACAAAGTAGCAACGATCTGAATCATGTCAGTGGTATACTTTGCTTCACTTATAGTTAGCACTGCTAATGTCAATCTGGTTCAAACTTATTAAGTTAGTAATATTATCACTTATTCAAGATTGTAAGTGAACATTTTTATCCAAATGCATGTGGTGTGCTGAACCATTTTTATCAATCGCACTTTAAAGTAGCCTTATTATGTACCCTATATCTTGTGTTTTGTAATGAGCATGTCTTATTTCCTTCACAATGGAATACGGTGCTACTGGGTTTCTTGGGCGCTGTCTTGTGTCCCCATCATACTCTGTAGTTCCGTTACCTCTAATTGGGGTCTGAAATTTGTGCATCACAATGGAGGTACATTTTGTATATATAAGCTAACTGGATGTCATTGCCTCCCATTTATGCATGTCATTATTTCATTGCAAGGGAAGTGTATCAAGTGATCCTGCACATTTATTTGAGTTTTGCATAATAATCTAGGGTAACTCGAGGAGCATTAATTTTAGTCAGCCAAAGCATCAACATCCATTAGAGAGATAGAGGTTCCAACCATGATTTGGCATCCCTCTGTGATCTAAATCCATATGTCATCAAGACCTGTGCTTATATATATATGATGAATTGCTTAACCAGCAAACCTAATCTTTCAGGACTGCTCCATGCTTCTGTTGTGATAAAGTACTTCACTGCTGCTAGCTGTTTCCCATTTGGTTGCAAGTACAGAAGTACTTTAGATCTGTACTTTCAAATATACACTAGTACGAAAACAGCTTTTATCCACGCTAGTGATTTTTTTTCACATGTGGTTCATAAAGAAGAGTAGCCAGTAAAAATAGAATTGTAGTCCCATGGCTATGAATCACTGGTGTAAATACATTTCTACTCGTGGTTCTTTTAATGCAACCGTCAGTGCAAATCTGTCACACCCGATTTTTAAGATAAAATGGGATGCATAATCTTATGTGTGTCTAGAGATCAGTCACACACATAAGCCGACAAATTATAAATAGTTTCATCACAAATGTTTATTACATCATGAATAATAAGACATAGTTTTCACATAAATATAGCGGAAGTATAAACATAAATCTCTCGCGGAAGCTCCATATCACAGGGACGTCAACTGGTTGACCACAAGTCTAGTAATCCTCGGGAAAGTTATCATTACCATAGCCATCTGTTACTCATCTAGGATTTTTATCCAAATAACAAAAATAAACAAGCGTAAGTACGTGTCGTACTCAACAAGTGTAACATGGGGTTTATGAGGCTCACAAGGCTTGACACAGGTTTAACAACATTCAGCTTTTAGTTGTCACAATTTTAGTATAAGAGTAGCAACAAGTTGTTTCAATCCCAGAGTAAAACACATGATCAATGTAAACACGAATAATGAATAGTATAAACAGATAATTCATAGTGAACATCTATTCCGTAAATGTTCCAAGGCCGCTCGTGACTATGAGCACGGCTGATATACCAGTTTTACACTCTGCAGAGGTTGTACACTTTCACTGTGAGTCATGATACCGATATGCCCGGGTTTATAACTCCCAAAACACTTACAAGGTGAGCAGACAGGGTTTACTATAAAGCCTTTCAAAGATTCGTCTAACAAGTTAGGGCCATTAGATTCATTCGGCAAACAGATGTAGAGCCCTCCTTTCCGATGGCACATTGACGTGCAGCCTATACTTAAGGGGACATAAGCTACACTATACCTGATTCGTCAAGCCATTCTTAGGCCAATAAAGGTAGCATCTATCAAGCTAAAAAATATCCTCATTATGAGCTAAAGCCATAGCCATGTAGCCCTCACAGCTGTACTGTAAGTCCTGAATAATCACTTACAGATAAGTCCTTAGGCAGAGGAATCTGAAGCATTTAGAAAGTAGCTAAATACTCCAGCCCCCTTTTTTTATGTTGTTAAAAAGTCATATTTTAATGTTTATTGCATATACCATTAGTCAAGTTACAAGATCATGGTTTAGTTGCGCACTAGCAAAGCTACCCAATGCATATCAATTAGGAGTCAAGACATAACTACAATTCTAGGGAATCCCTATCAAGGTGACACATACAACATGAATTAAATGTATTAAAGTTGATATGAAACAAGGATGATCCCATGCTATACTTTCCTTGAACAAGGTGGTCCTGCTGATCCTACTCGTCAAAGTAGTACTCTTGTTCACCCACGAATTGCTCACCGTCTATACTCGATAACCATAGCAACATACAAGCATCCAGAAGCAATCATGCAAACCAAACAAAGGCTATAAATTAGAACAGTACACCAACAGCATAAATTCAAGATGAAAAGTTTGTAAAACAAATCTATGTCTCGCTATGAACACACAGATGCGAAGATCACAAAAATTAGAGCTAAAACGAAGAAGTTACGAATTAAACAAGATTTCCTTTAACAAAATAATAGATTAAACCTAACCTTAAATTTTAAAAGTTAAAAAAATGTCTAACAGTAAGATGAGCATGTAGAGTATGTAATTACGAACCTAACGCAACTTGAACGGATCAAATCGGAGTTAAAACGAAGATTTTATGGCTAAAACAAGATTACTGGCAAAACAGTAAATAGATGAAACTTGATTTTAGAATTTAAATTAATAAAATCGGATTTAAACTGAAACAGGGACTGCAGCCATGAAAACGAAGAAACACAGGGGCTCTTTAACAAAATTGTAGGGACAGCGGGTTGAGATCCAAATAATTATAAGGGCTTTTTTGCAAAACGATAGGCGAAGGGGTATCTTTGAATCTGGGGCGTTGATCACGTGATGGACAGCTGCGATTAAATGGGAGGGAGAGAGAGAGCGCCCACCGAAGAAGAAAACGGTGTGGCGGCGGCCATGAATGGCTGCGAGGATGCTCGCCGGCGACGTTGATTTAGGCCCTACGGAACACCACAGAGCAAAGCGAGGGCACGGGGGGAGAGAGAGAGAGAGGAGATCTAGGCAAAGTCACCAAGACTGAAAGCAAGGACGGGGATAGACCGACGACGCACGGCGGCTACTCGACTCGACGGCGGCGGCGGCTTGCTCTAGGATTAGGAGGAGGCGGTGTGCACAAGGGCCGCTATTTATGGGCGGCTTCGGCGTGCGGGTAACGCCAGGATGCGGCGTAGAGGAGGCGGACTCGGCGGCGACGACGGTCGTGACCGACCTGGTCTGACGCGGGGAGGAAGAAGAAGACGACTGACCAGTGGGGTCTGCCTATCAACGTCAGTGGGAGAGAGGAATGGTGCGGGCGCGCTGCCGAGCGGGCCACGGGAGAAGCTAGGCCCAAAGAGGAAGGGGGAGAGCACTAGGCCAGGAGTAGCAGGCCCATGCGGGGGAGTGAGGGAGAGGAGAAGGCGGGCTGCACCTTGGGCCAGCAGGCCAAATAGAGGGAGAGGGGAAATAAAACTCTTTTTTTCTATATTCTTAAACACCATTACAACTCTAATTTGAACTCAAATTCAATTTTTTTGAAAATTTCAACGAAACCCAAGCATCACAAATAAAATATGCAGCAACATGTATGCACATACATGTATGTAGACCTATATTTGATTTTAATTTTAACAAAGTTATTATTTTTCTAACTTTAAACGCCCACAAAAATGCAAATAAATCAAATTCTCTTATTTCAAAATCATGAAATTTTTGGGGTGTTACAA